TTTTTTTTTTTTTTTTTTTAGTCAGGGTCTCACTCTGTCACTCAGACTGGAGTGCAGTGGCACTGTGCAGTGGACTTTTTTTTTCTTTAGTCAGGGTCTTACTCTGTCACTCAGACTGGAGTGCAGTGGCACCTTCATGGCTTACTGCAGCCTCGAACTCCTGGGCTCAAGCAATCCTCTTGCCTCAGCCTCCCAAAGTGCTGGGCTTACATGCATGAGCCACCCTGCCCAGCTCATGTTGTATTTTCATTTCGGTTCCACTATTGCCCCTGTTTTTCACCCCCTTGATCTTAAACTTGGAAGCAGCAGTTGCAGGTTCCAGGCATGGTGGGGTCCAGCCTCTGTGTTTGGTAGAACACGGATGGGAGTGCTCAAAGCCTGCTGTGTGTCAGCAGGGGAATGTCCCCTGTGGAGAGGGGCCGCACGGGGCCTAGGGGAGCCACTGCACTCTCTAAGGAACCTCCCGATGTCTCCCACAGGTGAATGTGAACTCGCAGATGCCATGGTTTGAGAAGCTGGCTCAGTTCAAGATACCTTGGACATCTCACGGCAGCCAGGATTCTAGTGAGCTTGGCATCCAAAACCTGAACTTCCGAGTGAGAAGCGGGCAAATGCTGGCCATCATTGGTAGTGCAGGTACTACAAGGGCAAACCATGGGCCGGTGGCTTCTCTCTCTCTCCTGGGTTGCAGAGTGGTCCTTTGGACAATTGGATGCTTCTTAGCTCTTTGCTAAGAATTCTTTGCTGACTAGAAGCATCTAACAGAATGGTTGAAGTGACAAGTTCTGGGTCAGACAGACCAGGGCTCAAATCATGGTTCTTGTCCACCTAAAGCTGCAGCCAGAGTCTCTTTTTAAAATTTTTTTAAAAAATTTTTACCTTTTTTGTAGACACAGGGTCTCACTATGTTGCCCAGGCTGGGCTTGAACTCCTGGTCTCAAAAGATCCTCCCACCTTGGCCTCGCAAAGTGCTGGGATTACAAGCATGAGCCACCACACCTGGCTGAGAGCATCCGTCTATAGTTAATGCCTGTACTGACAGATCATTAAGCCGTTTCGGAAGTCATGGTCTTTTCAGAGACTCCTTCAGTCACAAGAGGTGCTCAGTCAGGGTGTTTCTCCATCATCAGATTCTGGTTATGGTCCAATAGCCCCTGACACAACTCTCACTTCTCAGGTCGCCCCTTCAGAGTCTTGGCACAATCATCAACCATCCGCAAAGAGCCAGATTCTTGGGGTGCCTCAAATAGTTAGCTCCATGGGCCAAATTTAAAATTATAGACCGTCAGGTCTGAAAGGGGGCTTGGAGAACGATTCATTCTCCTCATTGTGGTTTACCTTTCTTTCTTCCTACCAGTCAGGAAGCATTTTGAGAGGAAGGTTTTCAAACCACCAACTTCTCAATATTTCTAGAGTGTCCTGCTGACCCTACACACACACACACACACACACACACACACACACACCCCTTCATTTGACAGATGAGGAGACTCAAGTCCAGAGAAGTCAAGTGGTTCTCCTAAGGATACACATTCCATGTAGAGCCAGAGCTAGAAACTTGGTTTTATGATTCCCAGATTCAGGCATTTCTCCCTGAGACACTCTTACATAGTGTTCGAGAGAGCATTCTATATCTTTTAGTTAATCATTTCCAGAGATTGCTCAATGTTTTGAACATCTGCCCCAAACTTCTACACCCTTCTGGTAGATAAGTTCTGTTTATTGTCTAACCAAAGAGCAAATGAGATGCTGTGTGTAAATGCACTTTGTAACTGCAACAACATGCATGATCACTAAGTCCCGCCCGCTTTGGTCCTGACCCTGCAATCCTAACTTAAACAAGAAAAAAGTATCCCAGCACTTTGGGAAGCCGAGGCATGAGAGGGTTGCCTGAGCCCATGGGTTTGAGAGCAGCCTGGGCAACTTCGTGAGACCTCATCTCTACAATAAATCAAAAAATTAGCTGGGCGTGGTGGTGCGTGCCTGTATTTCCAGCTGTTTGGAAGGCTGAGGTGGAAGGATCACCTGAGCTCAGCAGGTCGAGACTGCGGTGAGCATGCCACTGCACTCCAGCCTGTGCGACAGAGTGGGAATCCGACTCAAAAAAAAAAAAAAGAAAAGAAAGAAAAAAGCAGATCCCTCATGGACCTACTATTTTAATTTATAACTTCTGGTAGCTTTTCTTGTCATCTCTTTCTTTTCTTCCTGAATTAGCACCAGGGCATACACCGGCCTTTACATAAGGTCATCACAGGTAATACTTGGTACATACAACCCTCTAACTATTACTGTCCCTGATTTGTGTTGAGGAAAGTAAAGTTCAGAGAGGCTGAGCAAGAATTACATTGAATATCCAGGAGGCTGAAACAGCAGGATAGCCTGAAGCCAGGAGTGACAGACTAGCCTGAGCAACATAGTAAGACTCCCATCTCTAAAAAATTTTTAAAAATGATCTGGGCATGGCAGCATGTGCCTGTTATCCTGGCTACTTAAAAGGCTATGGCAAGAGGATCACTTGAGCCCAGGAGTTGGATGTTAAAGTGAGTTATGATTGGATCATTGCACAATAGTGAGACTCTTTCTCTTACAAATAAATAAAGGAGGCTGGGCACTGTGGCTCACGCCTACAATCCCAGAACTTTGGGAGGCCGAGGTGAGAGGATTGCCTGGCCCATGGGTTCAAAACCAGCCTGGGCAACTTAGCAAGACCCTATCCCTACAATAAACCAAGAAAAATTAGCCAGGTGGTGGCACATGCCTGTAGCTCCAGCTACTTGGAAGACTGAGGCGGAAGGATTGTCTGAGCCTGGCAGGTTGAGGCTGCGGTGGCCATGAGCATGCCACTGCCCTCCAGCCTGGGCAACAAAGTGAGACTCTGACTCAAAAAAAAAAAAACAAACCAAATAAATAAACAGATAGATAAAGAAATTACATTGAATCATCTCCAGGTCTTTTGACTCTAGGTTCAGTGTTGCTTAGTTTAAGATGTTTTGGTTTTTTTTTTTGAGTTGGAGTCTCACTCTGTCGCCCAGACTGGAGTGCAGTGACCATTCCCGGCCACCGCAGCCTCGACCTGCTGGGCTCCGGCGATCCTGCCGCCTCAGCCTTCCGAGTAGCCGGAATTACAGGCATGCGCTACCACGCCCGCTGATTTTTTGATTTATTGTAGAGATGAGGTCTCAAGTTGCCCGGGCGGGTCTCAAACCCACGGGCTCAGGCAATCCATTTACCTCAGCCTCCCAAAGGCACAGGATTACAGGCTGAGCCACCGAGCCCGGCTAGCTTAAGATGTTTTAAAAAAATAAAAACTTTAGACCAATAAAATTTGACAGTTTATTTGAGCAAAAAATGGTTCATGAGTCTGTCAGCACTCAGAACCAAGAGAGGTTCAGCAGCTCCGCCCAGGAACATGAGTGGCGGTATGCATAGACAGAAAAGGAAAGTTCCTACAGAAACAGCCTGATTGGTTAAAACTTGGCATATGCATTATTTATTTGGCAAGATGTGGGATGAGGCATTTACCTTGTATGGGCAAGAGCCCATCATTGGGCAGCCTGTGATTGGCTGAAGTTTGGCTGAGACTCAGCAAACTGTCTCAGTCAATCTCTGTCTTAAGAGACAATATACTCTTAAGGTGGGCTGCAGTTTGTTTGCAAATTAAGTTAGGTTGCAGTTAACTCCATAGGAACTCAAAGTAAGGAGGCGTCTCAGGACAAATTTAGTTTAACAGCTGAAATTATTAAAATGACTTATTAGAAAGGTGTATCAGTTATCCTTTCTGTGATTTTTCCTACACACATACACATACACACAAGAAAGCTGGCCATAATTTTTAAAAATATGAATAAAAACAGCCCCAGGCATTTTAGTTTCTTTTATGGAATCAGCAATACCGAAAGCATTTTCCAATTAATGAAGTTACTGATTTGGAGAGTCCAGCTATTTTTTTCAAGATCTCGAATGCCTGCAGGTGCTATCTCCCAAGTAGCTGGGACTACAGGCACGGGCCCCCATGCCTGGCTAATTTTTAAGTTTATTTATTTTTTTGTAGAGATGAGGTCTCGCTATGTTGCCCGGGCAGGTCTTGAACTCCCAGACTCAGGCAATTCTCCTGCCTCAGCCTTCCAAAGTGCTAGGAATTACAGGCGTGCTAGGAATTACACTGTGCCCGGCCTGTGTTGCAGTTTTTTTTTTTTTTTTTTTTTTTTTTTTTTTGGT